ACCTTTTCTAATCATTGCCTTAAAAAGAAGGAAATCATATCAGTAGAAAAACTCTAAAGTCAGAGAAACTTCATTGAACATACCAAAAAGAAGATATTATAACAAATCAATATAATGGGGTGGTTTGTCCCATTAAACTCCAACTCAGTTCCTGCATACTTGGAATATAACAAATCAATATAATGCTAGTGTATTTAATGTGTCCATCCAGAGGGCTCTTTTATGAGCACGTACATCTTCACTCCATGTTATCTCTTTGATGCTAGACCTTCTTCTATGACGGTATGCTCCAACTACCATTATTATGAAAGTCACAATTATGATAACTAGCTTTTTTTCCCCATCATCTTCACCTACTTCTTCCCTTGTGCGTTTCCTTTGACCATGTAAACTTTGTTGGTCTGACATTTTCTCCTAAACTGTTTCATCATAAAAAATTAATGTGTAAAACTATACTTATCTAAGAGATAGAATTAGACCATGTAACATGGAGTAAATGTAAATACGACTGATACTAATGTACACGGACTTTCCCTTCTTCAAATTATTCACAATTGCATATAATTCATCAATTACATATATGATGGGTAGCCTAATTAAATTTATCCTATAACAACACAGATTGCAATACGGACATTTTTGTTCTAAAAGAATTATTTGTGTTGAAAACGTTTCAATTTTGACATGTCGAAAAATGTCACTTATTTCCAGAAATTTTGCAAAATGAAAATTCAATACACTAGCCTCCTGGTATTTTACACAGTGAAAAATTACTATCATCGCATGATCAATTTTGACATAGTCCTATGCAAGACTTGCAACTATAATCGCATGTAATTGAGATAATATTCCTTGTCATTAGAGTTATTTACCTTTAATTTTTAATTAAACTTTGTTCTTCCAAAAACCTCTCTGAAAGTGTGCTCCCAATTTCCAATGGGAAGATATCCTTCTGCAAGCGTTAACATCAATTGATCATGAATAAAATGCCAAAATCTATAAAATTTTGATTTCAATAGTCCTATTTGAAATCAAAGAGCCCAGAACTCTCACCTCCTGAACAAACCACTGAAGCAGCTCACACTCCCCTGATCAACCAACGATCAATTGATTTTGGCTCGACCTCCTGAACTCTCACCTCCTGAACATCAATTGGTCAGAATTATTCGGGATATCAACCAACGCTTGGCTCGACCACGATCTCAATCTCCCCTGATCAACTCCAAACTACAACACAAATCAGAAAACCAATTAAAACCCACTTCAGCAAACAGTTCAAATTCAGGAAAAATAAATTGCAGTTCTCCTAGATCTAGAATCTCACCGTTGTATTGCCGTCGTCGTTTAGATCGTCGTCGCCGGTTGGATCTAGGAGCTAGGGTTTTGATGGAACTGAGAGAGAGCGAAGATCTGAGAGCTGAAATGGGGGGAGAGAGAGAGAGAGAGAGACCGGGGGTCGAGAAAAGAGAAACGCGGAGGCGGAGGCGGATGCGGAAGCGAGAGAGCGATCGCGGGTCAAAAAAAAGAAGAGCGGAATTGTAAATGACAGGGTGCAGTTAGGGATTTAGATTTATGAGGTTATTATGGGCTTTCAAGGTTAAATGGATTTGGGCTAATATCTGATATTCAAATTCTTTTGAATCCAAACACTGTAATTGGGCCAATTATAGAATTTGAAATGAAATCCTTAAATCCAAACAGGCCAAAGAATTGCAAATTTCCCTTTCGCTTCACATATTTCACCTTTTTAACCAAATTAAGAAATTTCTCATGTCATTTATCTGCCCCTTTCAGCTGCAGCCTTCTCCCTATCCTTCATTGATTCGACACAAAATTTTCAATACCTGTTTAACCAAAGCTTTACGTTTGAAGGAAATGAACCTAATCTCTGACGGTTTTGTAGGATGCACGCGCAGGCGCTGACGCTGGCGGTGCTCTCTGGCGCGGCAATCATGCACTATTACTGCTTGTGTTTAGACTTGTGTTAGACTTGACGGTGTCATCTTGGAGGTTAAGGTGAAAACCCTTTTAAGGGAATTACTAGAGTTAAAGGCTTAGAGGGGTTGTTTGCCAAAAATACAAAACAACACCCAGTTAGGCTAGCCATAATGCCTATTCCCTACAGTCAAAGAAGAAACAACATTCAGTTAAGAGGTGGAGCTCCTGTGACACACAAGCCGAAGCCGAGGAGCTGCAACACCAATTAGAGCACGGTAAGAACAACACATATATACACTCTCTCTTAGTAATTTAAGTTATAAGTATCTTCTCTCTTATATATGTATAATATATGTATATATATATTACTCTTATATAAATATACTCTATAGTGTATATTATGAATTACAGTTATATATATATATATAATATAATATATATATATATTATATATAATATATACTATAATATTAATTATATAATATATAATATTATATATATATATATAATATATATATAGGGAGAGGTTCTAATAAAAACCTCCTTATGCTAAAACTAAAAACTCCTCATCCATTGATCTAGATGAATCCAATTGTTAGGATTCAGTCAAACAGTCAACAACTATGCATTAATTACCATTAATTACCTCAACGCAGTGAATCCAGATTCACTACCTCAACGTATCTCGATCATTGCAGTGAATCCGGATTCACTGCAGTGAATCGCGGATTCACTGCGTTGATGTAATAATGCATGTGTTTAATAAGGTAATTAGTGCATGTGTCGTTGACTGTTTGACTGAATCCTAGCCATTGGATGAAGGAGGTTTAGTTTTTAGGCTAAGGAGTTTTTATTAGAACCCTCCCTATATATATATATATATATATATTATATATATATATATATATATATATTATATATATTATGGGAAAAGTGAATCTATTGTTTTTTACGATTCGTTCCGTTGAACTTGATCTACACCTTCTTAGACCCAAAACACTCAATTTTGAGATGAACTCGTCGTTTTTAACCCTTCGTTGAGCCGTGCAAAAAGTTCTATTCATTCGAAACGTTAAAATTGCGGCGAATGGATGAATGGGTCAAAACACGACAGGTTCATCCCAAAATTGATGTGTTTAGGTCTAAGAACGTATAGATCAAGTTTAACAGAGCGGATCGCAAAAATAATTAGGGAATGATGTGATTTAGGCCACGTCCTTAGGTGGAGCTTAGGGTGTCACATTAGATTCACTTTTCCATATATATATATATATATATATATATATATATATATATATATATTATAATATATATATATATATATATATAGTATATAATGGAAAAGTGAATCTAATGTGACATCCTAGGCTCCCACCTAAGGACGCGCCTATAATCACATATCATTTCCTTTTTTTTCGATCGCTCCGTAACTTGATCTACGACGTTCTGGTAGACCCAAACACACCAATTTTGGGGTGAACCCGTCATGTTTTGACCCTTTATCCACTCGCTGCAATTTTAACGGTTTCGAATGAATAGAACTTTTTGCACGGCTCAACGAATGGTCAAAACACAACGGGTTCACCCCCAAAATTGGTGTGTTTGGGTTTTAGAACGTGTAGATCAAGTTCAACGGAGCGGATCGTAAAAAAATTTAGGAAATGATGTGATTTTAGGCCGCGTCCTTAGGTGGAAGCCTAGAGTGTCACCTTAGATTCACTTTTCCATATATATATACTAGGTGGAATGCACGTGCAATGCACGTGGTAAAATTTTTAATATTATTTTTAATTTTAATTATATTTAGGGAAAGTTTTGGTATAAATTTATTGAATGTAGACTATATTTCAAGTATATGAATCAAAGCTATAAATTTAAACGAATAATCTCCATAATTTCATTATAGAACACTGATATCTTATTGAAAATAGATTGCATAATTTTGTCGATGAACTGTTTGATAAACGTAATGAACAAGCAGCAATCATTCCCCAAATACAAGGCTACATGAACCTTATATCTTATGCTAGATGAATGCATGATGATCAAGTAGCAGATGCTGTGTTGAGGCTTAGGCAAATAAATAACCCACATCTTTAGCATCAGAATGTTTGTATATTAATGTTAATATGTTTAAATTTTTTTATGTTGAAAATTGGTTCATATCCAAAACGCAAGCTCAATAAAGAGTTAGTTGATTTGCTTCCTTCATAATTCAAGCTATGCTGACTTGTTATGTTGCCTAATATTTCATTGGATCATAATTGTCATTTTTCTATAGCGATAAACTTGTGATTGTAAGCAAGAAGAAAATTCAAGAACTCAAGTTTTATGGTTAATTACAGATTTTTTTTCTTAATGTGTAGTGATATCCACTTATCATCTCTATACATATAAACGACACATTCGTAGATGGAATAATTTCTTCATCATTTGGATGTATGTTACAACCATTTGAATAAGAGAATATGATAACTTCAATTCAATTAAATGTCGTACAACACTTTTGATATCGAACTCCTTTAGCATCAAAAGTTTAAAGTACCGTACTAAAATTTTAGTAGCAATAAGTGGCTAATCCCTTTAGATTGAGGAATTATAGTGCTCATGAAGTCTGCTCTTGGAAATTGATTGCAATTGTTGACTGCTTTAGAGTTGATTGCTATGTTGTCTTCCACCTGTCCAATTTCAGCATGTAAATTAGTAAATGATAGGAAAATATCAAGTTAGAATAATGTAAGAACATCTTTCTGCTAGTTGAAATAGAGAACCAAAGAAAAAGCGTTGTAACTTAAATACTTACATTCCTGAGTCAACAGAGAGTATTTGTCCTCCAATTAAAGCCTTCCGATATTTGACTGTTTTTATAGCAAATGACAGCACTTTTTTAGTTATAAAGATTAATAATGTAAAGAAACTTTGATTGATGGTGCAAGAAAAGAATTACTTACCTGTTAAGGTTCTGAAAGGAGACACAACTTGGGTTTAATCGATCCATTACTTAGCTCACCCTCCTTATTGATAAAGCTGTTGTGACACCTCTTGCACAAGTTACATAAAATAAATACAGAGAATCAGCAAAAAACCTCCATATTCGTGCTAAGATTGCATCAGTTTGATGCTGCAGAAAAGAATTCTCAGATTGTTGCAAACAGGGATTTCCTTGTCTAAAATAAAATTTACCGGGAGCGGTACTTACCTCTCTCTGTTTTTGTGATAACTTGCAAACATAGGTACATGTAACTCAATTAACTCCTTTTTCGCAACCCAAAATATGCCATGATTATGGTCTACTTGAAAGTCCTCTCATCAAATACTGTAGAAACAATACAAGAGTCAAAAAAACAATGCACAATAGCTAGTTAAATTTATATACATGCAGATAGTCATAAAAAATCCTTGGTTTGTGTGGTTGATAATGAAGTCGATGTCTTATGAACATGTCAAATCTATCAGTTTTTATTTACTGAGAAATTAAACATAATGTGCAAAGAGAAGATAGCATGGTAGGATAAATACAAATAATAATAAAGTCTAAAAGAGGTACCATAGATTCAGTTACATTTTTCTACTGCGGATGAACTGTTGTAAGTCATAGCATGTTCTGTTGAGATACTTTGGCACCATGGTTGAGAGAGAGCCACACAGGCGTATCAAAAAATACGACACCAGTAAAACATTGTGTAAATGATTGCAAAGATAAGTTATGTTCTAGCAGCTTTTAGTTTACCTTAGATTACAATGAAAAGGAATTGCTTTCAGGTACAAGTTGAAGACTGTATTTCCATCTCTGTCAGTTTCACTTGTATCAGCTCCTTCATAAAAGCAGTTTTAACACACGTTTATCTGCAATATATGAGAAGCAAATACCAAGAAAATACAAAGAAAATAATGTAATGTTATTACTTTTATTCTTAGCAATTCGGGTTTTTACTTTTATTCAAAGTGATGATAGATCTATCAAACGGAAACATGTTTTATCTTCAGCTGGGTAAAGATCCAAATTTTGTATGGTAACCTCATGTCTTAAATCACGCATCAGTTTGGCTAAATGATAAAATGGCAGCAATGCTAAAGCACCCTCAAATATTTCTGATATTCATAGTATGTAAAAATAGGCCTTAGGTAGATATCCGACTTCACGTCCACTTGCATTTCTGAAGTTCCTAAATTCCTAGCTTAACACGAATTGTATTTATACTAATATTTAGTTAATGCATAAGTTTTTCACTGAGTACGGAAAATATTTATAACAAAATTAATAGCTGAGTTTTAGTTAAAATTATTTACACTTTAAAATTGTTACTTTATGATTTTCATATATGCGTACCCGAACTTAAATATTTGAATGTTAAAAATACAATTTTTGATAACACAATCGCACAAAAGTTGATATAGCACCAACCATTAATGTCAATGTCCATGTATGTCATATGACAATAATATATCTAACGTTGCTTGGGCGCTTTATCGATTCTAAAAGGATGTGAATTTGGTCAAATGAGACAATAATATATCTAACGTTGCTTGGGCGCTTTATCGATTCTAAAAGGATGTGAATTTGGTCAAATGAGATTGTTCCAAATAAAAACTACTCAAGTTGTTAATTGATTGAAATCTGGATTCTAATCTTTTCAATTAAGGCAAGCCAATTAAATTTGGTTTTTCAGAGACAAAAAACAATTCAGATCCTTAATCCTTAATAAATAAAGAACCAGCAACATCAGTCTACTTATTATTAAATTATTATGGTTATCCATAAATTTTGTTGTTTATAACCCCAGTATGCAATCACAGTGCAATTTGGTTTCTAATTTAAAAATCAAAACTGAGGGTTCCACCAAAGATCTGTGTCCCTATCGTGTTAGATAAATCTAAGTAGTTAGTATTTCACTCTAACATTTTAAATTACTTTAGGTGTCACAACTAAAATCAATAGTTGTGTAGTAGTCTCTTACATAAGTGAACACAAGCCTATTTTATCGTATCTGTATAGGACTAATAAAGCTAATTTTCTAGTATCTAAAAATCTAAAAATTGGATTAAAACCAAGAGTACGTCCACAATAATTGGAAACGAAGTAAAGTCAATATACAAATAGATTAACTCCAAATATTGATTGTTTTATACTAAAATTATCAAATCTTACTTTTTACTTGTTTAACATGTTTTCATTGTCAGATACCCTCATTTAGCACAAGTTTCACAACTGAAACATGTTTACTTCTATTGACTACTAAAATCTAAAGAATTTGAGTAAAAAGTCATATACTTTCTCAAGTAATTTGGATTAATGATATAAAATTTCCAGGTCTAATTGCTGTAACTTTAATGAAATTAAAACTGTCATTACAGAATAAAAATTACTTATCTTGATTATGGTTCTGCAATAAAGTACCACCTTTAGTTATAGAGAGGAATTTGCAGCTGGCACTTTTCATTCACACACACGTTAGGTGAATCATAACAGTGACAAATATCTATTTGTGCTAGGCTTGCGTCAGTTGTGGCTGCAGAAGAGAATTCTCAGATTGTTGCAAAACAGATAATATTTCATCTAAAGTAAAAGTTACCTCTCTTTGTTTTTGGGATTCCTTGCAAGCATGGGATCATTTAACTCAGTTAAATTTTTTTCAGCAGACCAAAATATGTGTAGATGTTGATTTGTCCAGTTTTCTTATACAAGTTCACAAGATTAATTTCTTTGGAATGAGCAACATAAGGACCTATATATCATTTACATTAAAGGTGGAGAATTACTCACATGAGTAATTTCAAAAAGTTCACAATCTACATTTTTTTGCCAAACAAGTCCCAGTGCTGTGTTAAATACAATTGTATGCAATATGCCTGCATTCAATAGATTTAAATTATCTAGAAAATAAAAGTGATTCAAACTATCAGTTAATGAAAAATATGAAGTTACAAAACTAATAGAAGGCAAGTACAATCACTAATAAAAGTTGAATACACGAATATTTATAGCATGTAGACTAAATAAAGAAAGCTAAAATAAGTGAAACAACATTTCAAAGAAAGATAATGCTAATGTTATTAATTTCAAATCTAACATTTTGGAGATGTTTGTATATATTGATGTATTCCGACAAGAGGAATTATATTGTTAAATTAGTTATTTTAGCTTGGATGAAGTAATTTTTAAGAAATAAATATGGCACATACCTGATAAGGTTTTTTCTTCATGATATCGATTTGAGATACACCTTGCGCAAGCAACTTCTTCACTCTACCATCTGTATAAAGTTTAGACAGACACTCATGCGCTTATGCAATAAAACCCCAGATTAAAAGTTGTGGTTACTGGTTGCATATAGAGGAATTTTAATGGTCGTGCAACTTTTACAAATCATAGAGTTATCAATGGTACTCTTTTTAAATTCATAAGCATCAGTAATTTCTAATGTTAAAAAATCTACAGTTAAATAATATCCATTTTATGGAAATCTCCATAAAATCTAACAAATCTTCACTTAAATACCCATTTTATGGAAATCTTCATAATTAATTTCTACACATTTTTAATTCTTTATAATAAATCTAACCAGAAAATTCTTTAACATGTGATTAAGAATCTTCACTTAAATACCCATTTTATGGAAATCTCCATGTTTATTCCAACTCTCATTTGTAAGTAATTAGACAGATCTAAGGGTTTAAAAAGTTGCTACAGAATTTATTATTGAGAAACACTTACTGGAAAGTTTAGAATTATCATCTAGCCTTCATGTGCTTCTACGCTCTTGACAACGGTGACGGGGCATGCTCCATTGTTAACTACATAGTTGCTAACACTGCCCATAATAACCCTGAAGGAAAGACGAAAGACAGTCAGAGACATTAACATTATTGGATTAGAAAATAATCTTTGAACAACTATAACTACGAATTTGAAAAGATGTTCATGAACGGATTGGCTTCACTTGATTGCTGCATGCTTAAGCTCGTTTTATTTTATTAGTTAATGAATAGATTCAAACTTGATCAGGCTCACTTACTACATATTCATACTACACCTGTCCTATGGCACGACAATATGGTACATGTATCCTATGATTCCGAAACTTTCATATAATGAACAGAGGCCTTATTGCATTTAAAGAATGATAAGGTGGGTAAGAATCAACTCAAATTGATCTTTAGGGGAGGAACTTGGTGGAAAATGACAACAGATAGTAACTTCTCTGTTCATCAAAAATGTCTAATGCTATCTTTCAGTATCTTCAAATCTACTGCGTCATGATGGCAGGACTAAGCGCATTTGAACATTAAATAAATTAGAGTAACATTATATATTAAGCTAGTAACATTAAATTGCAAATAATCTTGCGTTTCATGAAAGAAAAAAACATATTGAGATTGATTATTGTATAGTTAGAGAAAAGATAGTTGAAGAGAAAAACATTAAGGCTTGACACCACCGTCCTGTGTCTATGCAACATTGTTGGCAACATATAAAATTTCAAAGCATCCCCTACCCACATCACACACACAAACAATCCACCAGAACAAATAAAAAACAGTGTCCTACCCCTTCATAGTGTCAATGAAATCAGATTAAGTTTTAGTTATGTTGACAGAAGGAATGCTAAAGTCTCCACTTTAACTGGAAAACAGTTCTACATAAAAATTTAGAAGATTTTCAGTTATTATAATTTTCTTTTAGCGATATTGAAATCAAATTTAATACCTTAGGACTAATTTCTTAATTTCTTAACTTGCTTAATTAGATATGCAAAGTACTAATTCATTTTCCCAAATATTATGTTCATATTATACTTATTTTAAATATTCTAAAATTCCTTGAACTTATTTCTGCTAAAGCTCTTCAAGTCAGACCCTTGCCTTGCAGCTTTGATCCCATTTGCACTTTCACAACATTAGATTAAGTTTTTTATTATTAAATACTAAATTGCTACATGCATTTTCCCCATCTTGATGGTTGCTTCAAATGTAAAAGTCAGTGGTTTTTCCATCAATATTAGATAACAGAATCAGAGTATTAGAGACATAATAGTTGGTAGTACATGTTTTAAGATTGGTCTCAACATTTAATTTTTTTTTAAATACATATATTTGATTTCTTATAACTAATTCCCAGTCATCCCTCTGGAATTGAGTCATAACTTGTTTACAGAACATAAATGATAAAACCACCGATGAAGAGCAATCATGTGTGTAAATTGAACATTTTAACACATAAATGTATAACAAAGAGCAATCATCCAATATAGTACCAATTAAACCGACGACTGTAAAAGGGTAAAAGGGCATGAAAATCTCGGGTATACCTGAAAAAATGATGATGATGAGGACTCCTGAAGGAACATGCATATTTGATAGCCTTGTCACTCACATTCGCCTCTAGAATGACCTTATATCACATTTCTACAAGCAACGCTTTAAAAAATCAACATAATCATCAAATAACCCTTCCGACAAATTCTAAGAATGAAATGAGATTTAGCATGCAATTTTATATTTCTAAACAAGAAAAAGAAAGAAATAGAGTTGACTTACACTTGTAGGTGAAAACATCAAACCATTAGCTGGTCCTCCATGACCGCTAAGAATATCTAATAGATGTCCATTTCTCATTTAGCAAACAAAAACCTGAAACTCAAAATAACATGAAACTGTCAAGACAAGAAAAAAGTAAATCTTATGAGCATAACTAAAACAGACAGTTTAATATATTAAATACCTTCTCTATAGAAAGCTATTGTTTCCTCTCAACAGGTTTAGGAAGCTTTGTGTAGTCATCATCTTTCTTGCGAACGACTCATCAACGATATTTTTTGTGCAGTATAGATAAGGAAAAAATACTTGACATGCAAAATTAAATTAATAAAGTGAACTATTCTATGAATATGTATTTAGATTCACATAATAGAATGTTAAATTAAAGTAAATAATTGCAATAACAATCAAAGCAAGCAAAAGTTATCAAACAACTATAATAAAGTAAAAGTTATGCAAAAGCTTATGAAAAGCACATTTAAAATCTTTAAACCACTTTGTAAATGTAATAAAAATTAAAAATCATTCAAGTTTAATTTTTGTGGGCCCATGATCATTCCTTCTCCACCTTTATCTTCTTCCTTGGTAAATCGAGAAATGAATCATCATCATCAATGTTAATTGTGATTTCTTCTTGGATTTGAATTTCTTGTGCTATTATCTTTCCTTGTGCACGTTCATCCTTTGACTTCTCATCCAGCTTTACAAGGAACTTGTATGTCTTTCCGATGTTGAGAACAAACTTTTGAAACAATGAACTCTGATTATTTTTCTGTTTTAATGAGAAAAAAATTAAGATCTTATACATGAAATATATTGTTTTATATGTCTAAAATATAATAAAGTAAGAAGTTACCTCTTTTATATCATCCATGAATTTTTTAGCATCGCATCCTATCAATGTTTGTGCTGCTTCAAAAAGTGTGACTCTTGCAGTGTCTGTTTCGTCTTCCACGATGATTTTAACAACATATCTACATTTAATATTATCATTGTGCATTAGATGATATTTATATATTTAATTTTTATATTTTTATTTCATGAATAATTGATAGTACTTTACCTTGGTATACTATCTTCATTGTTTTTTTGACAATTTTGACATTTGTCGTAAATAGTTTTGTCTACTTTTTTATTGCAGCCTGTGCATGAGAAGTACCAAGCCTCATGTCTATTTAATATATTACTTATTTTTCCAATAAAGCAGCCATATTGTGCCTGTAGATTTAAAAAAATTTAGTTAGTTATAATCGTAGTTTACATATAAACATCAATGAAACAATATATATTTATATTTTTTTTTTAAAACTGAAGCTCTTGATTAATTAATAATTTATAGTAGGAGTTATAGTATCATACCTTTGATGAGTCTTGTGAAGCTTGCAAAATATCAACAATTTTCATTTCCGTTGCATTTTTAAATAGCCTTGACGGAGCACTATTAGTCTTGATCTGGTCTTTTGAAAGAGCCCTGCATATAATTTTAAAAATATTTAAAAGTAAATTTATTAAGTTACCTTTTTTATTTGAATTACCATTCTCGCATCTCCTTAGCAAGTTGTATTTCTGGGTTGATACATATTGTAGATGCAATTTGCGAAGTCAAGCATATCTCCCCTGCATATATAATAGTTATAATTAGAATTTGATATTTATTGATAATTAATTTACAATTCCATTATAAATATTTTACCTTTGTACAATGCTATTTTAAAATCTGATAACGCAATTATAGTTGGCTCATGCATATTTCTTTCAATTATTGAACCTTCATTGCCAGCTAAATCTCCGAATAAAGTTACAGATAATGTTATCTCACTGTGTAAGAAAAGTTAAGACAATTTTAGGTTAATATATTATATTTTAAATAAATAATTTATTGTGAAATAAAAGAAAGCGTGTATACTCTTTGTCTACTATAATGATGTCCCGCCTTGTGTCTGCCTTATTATATCTTGTAACGTACTTGATCATAGGCTTGACATTTGCTATCATTGCAAGAACATCTGCACATAAATTTATAATAAGTTAAAAATTCATTTATAAATTTTTAAACTAAAAATAAAAGGTGTTTATAAATACTTACTTATATTCCTTGTATCCTCGTTGGAAATTGCCTCTTTGATTGAGATAAAGTTGTTCAATATCTTATCAAATTGTAAATTTGCATTTGATTCTTTGATAGAAATGTTCTTAGTCAATGTCAACTCAATTGACTCATGTACATTTCCATATAGCGGGTTTATTGGTTTGACTTCTCCATTTGAGATGTAAAGAACATGATTCTTCTGAAGCATGTGCTTATACATTTCAATAGTTTCTCCAAACATAATACCTTGTATTTTTTTCCCCTGCAAATATTACTAATATTATCTCACAAATAACTAATACATTAACATTCATTTAAGCCTAAGATAAATAAGATAAGTAATAGATGACGTAAGTTATGTATAAATTTAGTTTTATGTGGTAAACTTTAAAAAAACTAACCTTATTTATATATAGTTACATGTTATTGAATTAGAATTTGTAGTACTTACTAATAAGTCATTTGATCTTAATTTACAAATTTAATTTTTTATACGGATTATCTCTTAGTAAAAAATTCCAATATGTGCTACTTGTATAAACAATTCTACCAAAGTTTTGCAACACTAACTTAGTTAAGGGACTAACATGATAAATTAATATGCTCAAAATTTAACTTGATTATGCAAGTAAATATTAAATTTATGGTAAATATGCTTATTTAAAATTTAGTTTAATTAATAATTTTTTTTGCAGTGTGTATACAATGTTGTGTTATGTCATATTCCAATTATTTGCTTGTTTATATTGTTAGACATACATATACAATTAATTTTCGTAGAAATACGAAGAAAGCATGATATTTGTTGTATAAAATATGTGAAAATCAATTACATGTTGCTTACCTCTTTAATAAATGTAGGAAATTATTTTTTGATCTTATACATAGTAAGGTGAAAATAATTAATATAAGAATAAGCATTAACAATTTTAATTTAATTTATATTTATAATTTATAATTTTTTAAAAAATTGGGAATGCTTTGCATAGATTTAAAGTAACGATTGTTATGTCATGATAAAAAATGATGCATATTGTACTTAAACATTGTATGTTTTACTTTATTTAAGAATAAGTATCAACAAATATCAATAGAATTATAGCATGTAGAATTTTGATACATTACCTCTGAGTCGGCCAAAATTAATTTAAGTATTTTGCCTGATCCTTTGTTGTTCTCATAAGATGACTCAATTGTTCTTAGGATAACAACATGAATCGTCCACTCTCTTTGAATTTTTTTTAATTGGCGTATTTGGATGTGTGGAATTTGTGCTTCGTCGTTGGATGCCATTGTTCCTGCAAGATTTAGAATAGTTTGTTATATATAAATATAAATAACAACACATCTGAAGTAATAAATAAACTTAAAAGAAAATTAAATGAGACTATTTCTATATCAAAGATGTTACACTAATTATAACCTTCGAAAATGTTATTGGTCATTTGAATTATTCCTCGTGGTCCTTTGGCTGGAGAACTTCCTTGTATACAACATTTTTTGTGTATTGTTCCTCTTCTGAAAATTTTCCATCTGATGTTATTAATACCTTGGTTGTCATCATAGAAGTACCCCGCGATAAAGCAACATATAATTGACCATGAGAGAACACTGGTTCAGGTAGATAAATACCAACGTTAGGTATTGTTTGCCCTTGGGATTTATTAATTGTCATTGCAAAACATAATCTTATGGGAAATTGTTTGCGTTTGAACTTGAATGGTAATCCTTCATCTTCTGCTGGTGACAATGGTATTCTTGGCAAGAAAACTTCTTTCCCAGCATGTTGGCCCATTGTGATTTTAGCTTGAATTACATTGTAGGTAAAATCTTGACATATCATTCTTGTACCGTTGCACAATCCATTAGTTGGATCCAAGTTCCTTAGTAAAATAATTGGACAATGTTTTTTCAACATTAGCTTGTGTGGCGGTAGACCATTAGGGAGCAAAGTGTTCAAAAATTCTTCTTGGTAATGATGATTAGTGTCATCAACTGCTTCATCATTCTTGGTAATGATGATTAGTGTCATCAACTGCTTCATCAAAGCTATAGAATTCTTTTCCTTCTCCTGGAAACCTTTTTATTAGTCTATCATTTAACATGTCAACATATTCATTTTTTGTTGCAAGGATTGCTCTATCTTTCATATAGTCAATAGACTTAAAATTTTCGTCTAAAGATGGAAAAATTGAATTTATGAGAGCTCTATCTTTCATATAGTCAATAGACTTAAAATTTTCGTCTAAAGATGGAAAAATTGAATTTATGAGATAATCTTCTGGTAGCTCATCACCTTGATTTTGGATCAACATTTCATTAGGTAGTTTTATGAGATCCTGTGTCACTGTTGGTTCATCTCCATTCCCAATCCTAAGAAGAAATTCACTGAATGCTGTGTCTGATTTTGCTCTCATATTTTTTGAAAGTTGTAGTTTGATCATTTTTCTCCATAAATGTGAGCTTACTAAACTTTCTTTGATAGTTTGTGATCTTGTTGAGCGAGGGACTACTGGTAAAACTTGTCTGAAATCACCACCAAATACGATTACTTTTCCGCCAAATGGTTCATCTTGATCCATTAAATCTCTTAGTGTTCTATCCAACGTTTCAATTGCAACGCGTTTAGCCATAGCAGCCTCGTCCCAAATTATTAGACGTGCTATTCTAAGGAGTTTTGATGTCCCATCTTGCTTTGATATACCACACATAGATGAATCTGTTGTTGGGATTTTGATTTTAAATCTGGAGTGTGCTGTTCTTCCACCAGGCATTATTACAGCTGCGACACCTGATGTCGCTGTAGCAAGAGCTATCATACCTTGCGATCTTACTGTGGCAAGTAGAGCACGATATAAATAAGTCTTCCCAGTTCCTCCTGGACCGTCAATAAAGAAAACTCCACTTTTATTTGCTTCAACTCTTTTTAGTATTGTAGTGTATGCAGTATGTTGTTCATAGTTGAGTTTTGTTGCAGCATTTAGATCATCAGTTGAGATTTGTACATCTAGCTCTTCTTTAATTTCTCTTGGGTATAAACCTTCCGCTGTAATGTTTTTTGCTTGTAAAGGTGGCAAATCAAATTTTTTAATATCCTTTCCCATACTCTCTAAATAGAAGTTGATATTGAGAAGAGTATCATTTATCACCGAAGCTGTAGTAGCATTTGGTTTCCTTGAGAAGTCTTCAGATAATGATTCAAGATATTTATCCCACAAATGATTAACATCTGTAGGCTCACAATGAACCAATATAGTTGCAAACAAACGTCGAAGTGCTGTTGGCATTTGGAAGACGATGGCTTCATCTAAGCACTCTCTTATGCTATCATCAGATTCCAAAAGACCTAATTTCTGAGCTGATTGCTTGAAAGATTTGCAATGAGTACCATTTACCGTCAGTAGATCTTCAAATGATTTTGGACACCTAACATGAGTAAGCAATAGTCGCAAGTAATATCTCTCTCCTTCAATTGGATTAGCCCCATTTATTCGACCAATCACTTGTCTCTGTTTTCTTGGACTCCAAGATTTTGATGTTGAATCCCAAACATAATATTCAGGAAATTCCACATATAATAACTCCTTTAAATGGTCTTTTTCATGTTTCTTCTTGTTACCTTCTTTAATTTTTTTACACATAATAAAAAATTCTGTAAGCATCGTCTTGAAGACATGGTCCAAGTGAATCAATTTAGATAGGTCTTGATGTTTCCAATAAGAAACATATTGATGATTTGGCATGTGAAGTTGTAAGTTAATCACAGCCGGGAATATCTCATTAAGATGGAATTCATATATTCTCCAAAAAGCTTCTTGAGCTGATACCCATCTTGCATCTTGAAAATTTTTGATTTCATTCACAACTTTTTCCCCTTCATTATATTCAATGTTTACTGCCACTCTATCATGACCTTTATATATGTACTTATAAAGGTATTTAACTGCTTTTATGCCTGAGCATATTTCAACATTGATGTGACAGTTATAACGTGTCAGCAAATAGGGATTATAAGGTACAACCCATTGATTATTAAGGATTTTGTTTCGAACCAACATTGTTCTGTTATTTTTGCTCCTTTTATAAATTGGGTAAGCATCTTTCGCCTGTAGTGATCTTGGAGAAAACTCTCTAGGGTAGTGATATTTACACTCTCCATTTTGCATGCAAATATTCTTCATATTTAACTCTCCACAAGGGCCATGCATCATATGTTTTTTAACCAGTTCATATAGGATTGGATTTTCATACTGGTTTGGGATTTCTGCTGATACGTACTTATCATAATGATCTGATGAGACGATTTTGTGTTTTCCCATTAGAATAATCAACATGTGTGCATGAGGCAACCCTCTTTTTTGAAACTCGATGACATGAACATGGGCAGCAACTTTTCCAAAGATTTCCTTTTTAAATAGCTGATCTTTCAAGTCTTGCAATTTTCCTCTAAATATCCTTGAGGTTAGATCCGGTCTATCATTATGTGTCTGTCCTGGATGTAGCTCCTCCGTGATTTCTTCCCATTCAGGATTGCATGTCATTGTGATGAAAATATCTGGTTTGCCAAATCGTTGTACTAATGACATTGCATCAAGATATCTACGACGCATATCTCTAGGACCACCAATAAATGATGATGGCAGCACTATTCTTTTTCCGACTTGACATGCTTTTGCTTCTCCAGCAGCTACACTATCGACTATGCCTTGGAATAACTCTGCTCTGATTTCTGATTGTTTCTTTCTAAAATAATTAAGTCTTGTTGTTTCAAGCTTTATGTACATATCAACAGCATATTGATGGAACAACCGGCCTGCCGATGTTAATACAGTAGATTGTCGAGTGTCTCTTATCTTAACCTTGTAACAATAATATTCTCGACATGAGACGCTTCCCGCCTTTGGTGCTTTAACACCTACAAGTTTGCAGGTTAAGTTAATTTTTAATGTTTTAATATTATTAAACAATTTTAATTATGATTTACCTTCCCTTTCTCGTTTAAATATGTCTTCTGCAGATGTAAAAGTTTGCTGAGTTACTTGAGATGTTGTATTTACTTGTTTTGACTGGCGAATATCATTTTTATCCCTTCTTTTGATATTTTGGTGCCATCCTACATCTCCGCCTGGAAAGAGTAAAGGATATTGTAAAGGATCATAACAACCAAAATAGTGCTTAACTTGATGATTCTTTTCGGAGTGTGAATGGACAACTATTTCTCTCTCATACGGAACATTATCATTATTTCCCTCTACCCAGATAGCTGCAACCTGATCCACTGTTGGCGAGTTGTAAACACGTTGATCTACTGCAGCATCTCTATTTATAATGATCTTGAAGTCTTCAAGAGATGGAAAATCATTTAGTTTCCGCAGAAATTTTGCATATGGGTTTCCTTCTAATATATCCATCAATCTTTTAGTTGTAGTCGTACTCATGTTTGCATTATCTAATATTCCCATTCGATTTTGCAACTCATTCTCCGTATCGTAAAAGTAAAGTTGAAAGTAGGAAGGCTTATTTTCTTCTGGAATAAGAGAGGGGAGATTATGATATATTTGTCCTTGTGCTCTAAATGTGAAAATACCCTTTCTGTTTGATGCAAGTTCTCTATCAAACCTTGCTCCAAATGATGTGAATGAGAAAATGCTATTATACTTTCTGGTTTGTCTTCGAAACTCAATTGCCTCTTGGGTTTGTACCGTATAAAGGGCATATAACTCATCATTAACATTTACATCTGCTAGGTGGATTTCACCGTTGTGACAACAGGATGTTGGTGTCTCATGTTCAAATTTTTTTGCTCCACAAAATGAACAAGACTTTGGAGTCCGTAGTATATGTAATAAAGAACATACTGGTTCATGTGTAATTTGACCTAGAAAAAAATAATAGTTTTTAGTGTTAAATAAATTTAGATATATAAAATCATGTAATTATTTTAATAAAATATAAAATTAATCTATGCAAACCTCCATGCTCATATTCTCGCTGTTGCGCTCCACAAAACACATCAATCTTACGTTTTCCCTTGCTATTGGTACTACTGCCAGCTAAATCATTTCTTTTCCTCTTTATATTAAGATTTCCTTTTTAAATAGCTGATCTTTCAAGTCTTGTAATTTTCCTCTAAATATCCTTGAGGTTAGATCTGGTCTATCATTATGTGTCTGTCCAGGATGTAGCTCCTCCGTGATTTCTTTCCATTCAGGATTGCATGTCATTGTGATAAAAATATCTGGTTTGCCAAATCGTTGTACTAATGACATTGCATCAAGATATCTACGACGCATATCTCTAGGACCACCAATAAATGATGATGGCAGCACTATTCTTTTTCCGACTTGACATGCTTTTGCTTCTCCAGCAGCTACACTATCGACTATGCCTTGGAATAACTCTGCTCTGATTTCTGATTGTTTCTTTCTAAAATAATCAAGTCTTGTTGTTTCAAGCTTTATGTACATATCAACAGCATATTGATGGAACAAACGGCCTGCCGATGTTAATACTGTAGATTGTCTAGTGTCTCTTATCTGGAACTTGTAACAATAATATTCTCGACATGAGACGCTTCCCGCCTTTGGTGCTTTAACACCTACAAGTTTGAAGGTTAAGTTAATTTTTAATGTTTTAATATTATTAAACAATTTTAATTATGATTTACCTTCCCTTTCTCGTTTAAATATATCTTCTGCAGATGTAAAAGTTTGCTGAGTTACTTGAGATGTAGTTACTTGTTTTGACCGGCGAATATCAATTTTATCCCTTCTTTTAATATTTTGGTGCCATCCTACATCTCCGCCTGGAAAGAGTAAAGGATATTATAAAGGATCATAACATCCAAAATAGTGCTTAACTTGATGATTCTTGCCAGAGTGTGAATGGACAACTATTTCTCTCTCATACGGAACATTATCATTATTTCCCTCTACCCAGATAGCTGCAACCTGATCCACTGTTGGCGAGTTGTAAACACGTTGATCTACTGCAGCATCTCTATTTATAATGATCTTGAAGTCTTCAAGAGATGGAAAATCATTTAGTTTCCGCAGAAATTTTGCATATGGGTTTCCTTCTAATATATCCATCAATCTTTTAGTTGTAGTCGTACTCATGTTTGCATTATCTAATATTCCCATTCGATTTTGCAACTCATTCTCCGTATCGTAAAAGTAAAGTTGAAAGTAGGAAGGCTTATTTTCTTCTGGAATAAGAGAGGGGAGATTATGATATATTTGTCCTTGTGCTCTAAATGTGAAAATACCCTTTCTGTTTGATGCAAGTTCTCTATCAAACCTTGCCCCAAATGATGTGAATGAGAAAATGCTATTATACTTTCTGGTTTGTCTTCGAAACTCAATTGCCTCTTGGGTTTGTACCGTATAAAGGGCATATAACTCATCATTAACATTCACATCTGCTAGGTGGATTTCACCATTGTGACAACAGGATGTTGGTGGCTCATGTTCAAACTTTTTTGCTCCACAAAATGAACAAGACTTTGGAGTCCGTAGTTTATGTAATAAAGAACATACTGGTTCATGTGTAATTTGACCTAGAAAAAAAATAATAGTTTTTAGTGTTAAATAAATTTAGATATATAAAATCATGTAATTATTTTAATAAAATATAAAATTAATCTATGCAAACCTCCATGCTCATATTCTCGCTGTTGCGCTCCACAAAACACATCAATCTTACGTTTTCCCTTGCTATTGGTACTACTGCCAGCTAAATCATTTCTTTTCCTCTTTATATTATTATCAATGACCTTCTGAATGTAAGTTCTCTTCTGGTCAACATTCAACTGCTTATATTTGGTGTTTCTACTCTCATGTATTACGATGTGGTTTTCTGTAAAAAAATAATAAAATATACTATTAATAAACACAAATATACATAAAGCAATAATAATATATATTTATGTTGAATTCAAACCTTGGTTTGAAGTCATTTGGAAGAAGGTACTCTTATGCAAATGTCTACTGATTATGCAATCCAAGAAGTAGAATGTAAATTTCTACAAGGGAAAATAAATTAATGTGTTAAATTATTGATTTATTAAATTAAACATAATTATAGCAGTGAATATAATTTGAGAGAATAAGTATATTTTATTTGTTGTTCAATAGTACTTAAGGTTTTTTTTTAAGAAATTTTGTAAACTATACATGCATCAGTAACCACAAATATCTCATATGCTAAGGTTAATTTTTTTAAGTCATATAATAATAATAATAATAAATATTAAAGTGTAGAAGAAGATAAATACAAGGAAATAGAGTTATCATCACTATCAACAAAGTAAAGAGAAAAGAGAAGAAAATTGCTTAACTAACCTGAATCACCAACAACTTTAGAAATGTTTTAAAAAACAAGGCAATTCCAACCAAGTAGGATATCTGCAATAATATGAAAAAATGTTAAATAATTTAATCTACATGTAGTAGTGTATTACAAAACTTATATAATTAATCAGAGACAAAACATACATAATTATTCAGAGGCAACATACATAATCTAAAAAAATGTTAATTTTTTTACCTGAGGAAAAAAAATTAGGATGTTACGTTATGTGGTAAAAGAATTCACGACAAAAATACTAACTTTGTAGGTGACAATTGTTATTATTATGAGTAGATAGCTTGAAGATGGCCAAATACACAAATACCATGTAAATCACAGTGAATGAGATAGAATTGGAAATATTAAGACAAAGAATTGTTCATACAACACTACAAAAATGTCATTTTTATAAATCAGTCTATAATATAAGGCTCAATACAATAAGCATATGAACAACACTGACTCTACCAAATAAATAGGCATAAAAAAATATTTACAACTAATTTCTAAGAATGACTATATTCAGTAAATTAAATGAGTTTGAGATTACATAGAGTTAGTGACTTGAATGAAAAACTAAAAATAACCAAATAAAGCAATTTAAAAAGGTAAAATTTGAACATGGGTATTAAAGAAAAAGGTTATTGTTTACCTTTTGTCTTGCTGTCCTGAAGAATCTAACCTAAATGTTTTAGTACTCTGTTCATGTTCAAGCATTAATACCTATAAGTATGGTTTTATATGATATATGATAGATCATCTTATTAAATTTTGTGACTGGGAGTTTGAATGACATGTAATATTCATAATATAAACTATATCATCCCTAAATAACTGTTAGAATATCTTTCCTGTTATTCATTTAAACACACCTTTAACCAACATATCATCCCAATTTTTCCGGCTCAAATGAATATACGCCCTTAAACATCTATTTGATGAGTTAATAGATGTCCAGATATCTTCACATGTTCACAACATATACTAATGGTAAAAATTTAAGGTGGATACAACTATTTATGTGGAAACCAGTTTTTTCACGTTCTATATAAGATGCTTTATCATATATAAGCTTTACAACGTGCATTCATATTGTATATTCATATTATAACAGTTCACAAGTAATCTATATAAATATACAATATGAATATACAATATGAATATACAATATGAATGCACGTTGTATATAAGATGCTTTATCATATATAAGCTTTACAATGTGCATTCATATTGTGCATTCATATTATAAAAGTTTCCCAATATATAAGCTTTACAACGTGCATTCATATTGTATATTCATATTACAAGTTTTCTTTGGGAGCTCTAATTTAATTAAAATGTTTTTAAAGATTATGATGGTTTTAGCTAGAAGATTTAGATTGATGATCAATCAATCAATTATTATACAAAGCTCAGTTTGCTTTTGTTTAAACTTCCACCAATTTAAGAATAAACAGATTCAACATATGTTAGTTCCAGGCTTGCCAGCATTGGCATGCAACTTCAGTACAGTCCATCTAAAATAAGATCAAATAATCTTTGGTCGAGGGAAACAAATGTACTTTGGAGCTTTAAGCTTATTAAACTGTTGTTTTAAGATTTATGAAGATTTTAGCTAATGGACTTAGATTGGTGCTTTGATTAATTAATAAACAAAACTCATTTTGCTTTTATCTAAAATAGATATATTCTTGATTCTATAGCTTTATCAAGAACTTATTCTGAATGCGATGCCAACAATTTAGAGGGTATTTTACTCTAATTGAATTTTGAGAAAGTTATGATAAGTTAATTTGTTTTTTTTTTAATTAAAAGTACCACATGCTAAAAAAAATTCTCTAAAAAATCTGTATCTTTACCAGATGTTTATAGCTGGCTGTTGTGCACCTAGATAGTCATGGTTAAATCATTGTGAAGGGGTAAATTATGATTAATAAGAAAGGATGTCAACAGCGGGTAGTTGGTGTGTTTACCAAAATACATTCTAAAGGTACAAATCTATATTCTAAAGGTACGAAGCTTGTTATGGTTTGTTTCTTTTGGGTACAACTTCTTTATAATATGCAAATGGTAATGTGGTTTTCTTTGGTTGATTTTGAAATGTAAAGGATATTTACAAAGTTCTTGAACTTGAGAGTACTTATGTTCTTTAATCAACTCCGCTAAATCTATGCAAACTTGTGATGGAGTCCCTGATCAAATTACTTGGAATTTTTTAAATTGTAAATCAGCTTCTTCACTATAGTATGTCTAGGAACCTGTTTGAATATAGGGATAAAGGATAAAGTTGATTGCACAAGCTCCGATAGATAAAATTATGAGGAAAGTAGTGTTTTGAAGGTAATTATTTATTTACAGTTGGTACACTCATTCTCACTGATTAGCTGTTGTTTTCCTGCTCTATGTGATATCTCTTTATGGGTTAATTTATAAGGTTTAAAATAAGGTGAAAATTTGGTGGAAACACAAAGGATAATGGTCAGACCAGGACACGTGAATTGGAAAACTAATAACAGATAAGAAGCGTCCTTTCTACTTGTCGTTTCACCAAGATGGTGTACAACGGAAAGTGGTTATACTCATATACTAATTTTGTAAACTATTTTCTTAATGAAAAATTCTGATGCAACAAAAATGAATGAAAAGTAGATGTGATTTTATTTTTTAAAGTGATTTGCTTACCCTATATTATTAATTGTTTTTAATCATAATCTTTAAAAACAGTCTAATTAACTTAGAGCTCCTAATGAAAACTTGTAATATGAATATAAAATATGAATGCACGTTGTAGTAGCTAAAACCATCATAGTCTTTCATAACAACTCTTTTAAGGTTAAAATTTGGCAATAGAACTAAAACTTAACCTGATTTCATTGAAACTATGTTACCTAGGATTAAAACTCTCCACATAAGAGAAGTACCATTGGGGACATAAAGCCCCTCAAATTTTCAAATTTACAGTTGGAATGAAGGGGGGAAAATGTAGGAAATCAAAGTTTACAAAACCAGTACTATAATAGCATGATACTCGACTTTTTAAAGCATTAATACCTATAAGTATGGTTTTATATGATATATGATAGATCAGCTTTTTAAAATTTTTGACTGGGAGTTTGAATGACATGTAATATTCATAATATAAACTATATCATCCCTAAATAACAGTTAGAATATCTTTCCTGTTATTCATTTAAACACACCTTTAACCAACATATCATCCCAATTATTCTGTCTCAAATGAATATACGCCCTTAAACATCTATTTGATGAGTTAATAGATGTCCAGATATTTTCAAATGTTCACAACATATACTAATGGTAAAAATTTAAGGTGGATACAACTATTTATGTGGAAACAAGTTTTTAAACGTTCTATATAAGATGCTTTATCATATAAGCTTTACAACGTGCATTCATATTGTATATTCATATTATAACAGTTCACAAGTAATCTTAACAGTTCACAAATATTCTATATAAGTATATATGAATATACAATATGCTTATCGAAAACCTTAAATTTATTAGAGTCTTAAAGTCATTTAAGAATGTCTTTCTTAACAACTCTTTCATCAAAATTAAAAGATGATATTAATATATTGTGAAACTTGAAAAAATCGATTGGTATTGCACATTTAAGGAAAAGATTAACTAAAGGTTAAAAGGAATATGCTATTTTTACAAATGAGGTCAATAGGGCAGTTCTTTTAAATCAAATTATGGAGATTCAAGATTCATTTGCAGCTTAAAAATTATAGCATAGGAGTTAGAACAATAGTATCGCAATTATCAACCTAACTTCGTTCAATCTTAAATTTCAACTAAAAAATCTTCATAACAAAAATACTGTAATGATCTATAAGGCGCATGCTATTAAAAAAATCAAATATGATCCCAATATACTTCCATATTACACATGGGACTTCTACTAAAGTTGAAAAGCTAATATTGAGCATTGAGGCATTGGAACAAACAAGAGGAGTGTGTCCATGGAAATTCTTCCTTTAATGACAAAATACAGGATTCTGATATGCAAACTTTTAAAAATACCAAGGGAATCAATATAAGAAAATAGTGAAGGAATCCTACCTTTTAACTTAAAATTTAACAGTAATAGTCAGTTGGATAACCATCAACATCAAAGTCTAGTATTACTGGATATATTAGAATTGGAATGAAGGGGGAAAAATGTAGGAAATCACAGTTTACAAAACCAATAAAAATCCAAAAGAATACATGTCTTACCTGATGAAACAGAAAAAGGAACAATACGAAGAATTGAAGCAAGCACTGATTCGGACAATCCTTGACCTTTTGTTGAATTAGAACAGAAGGAGATGATTGGTAATTAGACCATAATTAAATTAAATGATTAAATGAAGAGCATAAAAGAAAAATCATTCTTACCGATGCCAAATTTCAAAGAGCTGAGGAGATGATGGCGGATGCGCAGAGATTATGATTAGGGCAAGAACAATCATCTTTGGAAATTTATGGCTTAACATCGTGGGCAGGCGTAACGTAATAAGAATTGAAATAAGGCGGAGAGAAGGCGGAGAGAAGGCGAAACCTAAGGAAGATTTAGGATAACGGACTTAAAATTTTTTAACTGAAGATCGAATCGGCTGAGGAGAAGGCGGAGAGGAGGAACCGAAGGAATAATTAGGGCTTTTGATATCTGCGGATGTTCTAAGGGATGAGATTGGTATATAGGATCCGGTTGAAGGTTAATTTGGGGAGGAAAAGTTTTTTCAGTAACTCGCTCTTTTAAAGGGGTAATAGATATATATATATATATATATATATATACATATAAAAATTTAGAAAAAATAAAAATAATAAATTTACTATTCTGGGATGGGCCCGTGTCTGGCCCGGGTTTCCGGGCCAACCCCAGGCCGGGACCAGCCCGACGGGCTTTTTGGAGACACCTAGTCCGACCCGAACTGGCTTTAAACGGTTCGGTTTGTTTCAGTTTGGTCGGTTTGACGTAAGTTTGGCTAAAACCGAACCCACCGATCGCAGGTAGAAGTATATGAAAGAGGGATCCTCTCTATCAGGCTATAACTTCCTCTCTAATCCCTCCGTCATCAGAGCACGCATCTTGCCCTCTCAAAATCTTTTGCCCATGCCATAAGGTAAAAATTAACAACTTAAATTCTCTTGCGATTGCTTTATAATTTTATATATTACACAGTTGGTTATATGTAATTGAATAATTTTTTTTTGACAGAAAAACAAGGGACATACCCTGTATGCAATTGAATAATTGATTAGTTGCTTCGGTTTCGGTTTATGAACTTTGTTCAGTTTTTATTTTTTTTATTTGTTCTATTTTTTATTATTTTATAAAGGCTAGGGGGGCACCACGAAGGAACCCATGTAGAGAGCGTCTTACTATGCAGAGCGTCTTACAAAAATTCATATAGAAAGAAGAATAACGCTACATACATATAGCACTGTTAATTTTACTACGTTCAGACCAGTGCAAACTGTGAGAATTTATCCCTGTATTTCCGGTAATCCTAGCTGAACTCGGATTGGGGATTGAATTTAATTGGAAAGAAACAGTCTCTATTAATTAGAATCGAAAGCCAATTGCAGAAGAATTAAGGTTTGGTAATCGAAGTCAAAGAAGGAGCCCTACATGAATTCAACACAGGAGAAAAGCTCCTTAAATACCCCTTGAGAGCTTAGAAAGGCCCCTTGAAGGCTTAGAAAGCCAAGGAGGATTTTATGTTATAGTCTTATAGAGGAGAGGTATGAGAAACTAACGAGAGAAATCACAGCAAAGCTTGACGGATAGTGTCTTACGGGTTCTTCTAGAACACAGCAAAGCTTGTATCTTGTAAATCTCAAGTAAAGGAAAGCTCAGATTCCTCTCCGTGGACGTAAGCGATTGTCGATTTACGTAAATCACGGGTCTTTGTGCTATTGTTCTAGTTTCTATGATAAATTGCTCTTCTCCTTGGTTCGAACACAAGTTTCTCGGTGTTTCCATATTGTCAGGCGATCGATTTCCCTAGGAAGACGGAGGACGTATACTTTTATATTCTCTCCATGTATGATTTTCTATAAAGAAGTTCTTTTCTATGATGATGAGATGTTCAATGTTTTTATCTGCTTTCTCCTGTTTTCTTTCACGAGGATAACATACTAACGGCATCCTTTACCAATATGTCTAGGATTCGTAGTACTCCAACCAACAACTTAGGAGAAAACGAAGAAGTATGCGTTGGAAGCACCACAACACGTAAAGCGAAAGAAAAGATGGCAACTCACATCCCCGTCGAGATTATAATTCAGATACTTGAAAAACTACCTTCAAGATCTCTCTTAAGATTCAAGTCTGTCTGCAAGTTGTGGCGTTCTATCATACAGGGCCAAGACTTTATCATCCGCCACCTGCACAACAACAATGCTAGAGCTTCACATGATCTCAGTTTTGTTACTCTGTTTCGATACAGTACTAAACGTCGATTCATCGACTTGAGGTATTTCATCAAAGAGTGGGGCAAATTTGAAATAAGAGGTGCCAAAAATTCTTATTACTATGACGTCTCAAATTCATGTAATGGCCTGATATGTGTTTTCGGGAGCAAGTTTACTTACGTGGTGAATCCCAGCATTGGAGATTTCGTGGAACTTCCGACATTTCTCGCTTATGCTTTGCCGGTTCAACATAACGTGGCATTAGTCCATGACGCGGAAACATATGAATACAAGGTTATTCGAACATTTACAAATGAAGAAAACAGCTCGGGATGTTTCATATTTACTCTTGGATCAAGTACTTCATGGCGATTTATTGGATGTGCTCCTTTTCGATTATACGAATGTGGTATTCCTGCAGTTGTCAATAATAACATATACTGGTCTATCAGTCCTATGGCTTGTCATGACGGACCAGAAATTGGTGTTTCATTAAATATTAAGAATGAGACTTTTGATATAGTTATGCATCCAGATTACACACCAGGAGTACTTTCACGGATCTACGAGGTGGGAGGTGATCTGTGCATATTAGACTCACCCAATAACTTGTACTTGCCCGATACCTTGGACTGGAATCTGAAAACCATGTGGACTCTGAAGGATTATAGAAACAAGGAGTGGATAAAGCATGACATGAATTTGAACAATATGCAAAATTTGACGCGAAGTATAGCCACCCAATTTGTGCTTGTGGGGATTCGAAATGGGAAGATTTTGACATCCCATGTAACTGGCAGGTTTGATTTCTATGATCCTGAAACGGGACATTTTGAGATGGCATTGGAGGAACCTCATCAACTTCATGCATATGCTCTTCATTACGTTGAAAGCTTAATCTCACCCACTGCACTTCAAAACAGCACCAAATAGAGATCTTGGTGGTGATTGAATTGAACTTTTTCCAAGGCTTGGATATAATTCTATCCTGTTGGAGTAAACAACTGCTCAGTTTTTAGAGACAAGATAAGGCTTCAGGCTCATAGAGATATGCTAGTAATTTCGATTGTGCATGCTACTGTGTGTTTTTATTTTTATTTTTTATTTTATTTATTTATTTTTTTACTTTTTTTGTGGATTCGTGAGGTTGCAATAATTCAATTAAATAGCTGTTTCCATGTTATTTTCATCTTATTAATTCTAATTTTGTTACGCTCTAGGAGCAGTTATTACATAAGCACGACTTATTAACAGGAGTGACTATCGACACCCTGTAAAATTTTAAAAAAAGTATAACGTTTGTATTTCGTTTAGGCCGACGGTTGATGAACCAATTAGTTCTTGCATGTCTGTAATGTGGGGCTTCGGGATTATGGATCTGAATTCATCAAGAACGAAGAACAGTGGGGGAATTGGGGAAACAGTAACAAAGTGATACTCTGCAGATTGTAGTTGAATTCACCTATTGCATAGTCTACCATTTGAAACATTGAATTACTCGTGCAAGGCGTGTCACGTATCAGATACTTCAAGAATCTTTGAATACTTGTGGGATACTTAAATTACATATCTTCAGTTGCAATAGCTAGTTTGGGGTATGATGTATCGGATACTTTTGCAAGTTATGGCCCTCTGCTATCTTGGTTGCCTTATGTGATATAACTTCCTATTTCTGATGTTGAAAACATGACAAGATGTGGATTTTTGCATTTTCTTGGTCCAAGTTTACATTGGAAGTTCCATTGTGGTCCCTTTGCTTATTTGGCTTGGGAGCACGTATGCCTACAGGTTCTTCAACTGGCAAATTTGTGACACACATACCAGTTACAAACACAAATGCACAATGTTGCAAAAATGCTACAGTGTTAATTCTGGGTTTCTCTCCCTAATAACAATCTGCTCATCTCTGAATATAAGAATAAGAAACAGAAAACACACTTAGATAGAAGGCCAAACTGCTTTGCAATCAGTTGAATGCTTTTTTTTAATTCTTATTTTAACACATCACAATTTTACAACTTCCAAAAACGTACTAGCAAGAGAAGCCAATCTAACGGAAGGAAATATATGCAAAATTTCTCTTTCATTTTCATCACATTGTTCACCTTTTCAAGGTGCGATATCTCATGTTTACCTGCCAGTTTCTCTCTCCTGCCAACTAAAAATAAATTAAAAGTATTGCAAATTTCCCCTTCGCTTCACGCATTACACCTTTTTAACCAAATTAAGAAATTTCTCACGTCATTTATCTGCCCCTTTCAGCTGCAGCCTTCTCCCTATCCTTCATTGATTCGACACAAATTTTTCAATACCTGCTTGACCATAGCTTTACGTTTGGAGGAAATGAACCTAATTAGCTAGCCATAATGCCTATTCTCCTATATTCACAATGAGAACACAACATTCAAGTTAAAGGTGGAGCTCCTGTGACACACAAGCCAAAGGCCGAGGAGCTGCAACACCAATTAGAGCACTGTAAGGAACAACTGTTTTCTCGCAAAATCCACGATCAGCATGAAATGGCTGGCACAAGACATTATTACACCTCGCTTATCTGTTACTCTCTAATACCTTCTGTAAACTCCAAGCCCTGATGACCAATATATCTGCCATAAGCTACTGTCTCCTGAGACGACGAAGAAGGATAGTCTGTATTTGTCAATCTCGAGAAATTAAAGTTGACCTATATCTTGCATCATAACTACCATAATCACCAATAATTTGTGATGGAGGAGGATAAGTCGAGTTTGTCAATTGCGAGAAAGCTGACCTTCGATCTTCTTGTATCGAGACATGCATAACTACTTGGTGCCAGTTCAACATGCCCTACTACGGCCTGAAAAAGAAAGTGTAGAAGAGTATTGCTATCAAGAGCTTTTTGCAATTGAGATCATAATATAATACGCCTTAATAATCTGCCAATGCATTAAGACTGTGTTTGGGAGGATTTATTTTTAGAAGCTTGTATGCTATGCTAACTTTTGATTGTTCTTGGCATTTCATAATAAAAATTTGGGAAAATTGCTTGCAGGAACAAAAAATAGTTGGGCCAAGCATCCTCACCCCCAGCCCAAAAATCATAACCCACAAGCCCTAAAATTAAAAAACATATGCAACCAACCCCCAAACCCACTGCCCAAGAAAACCACTTCCCAAATTATCCTTCTTCCCAATTAAAACCCATACCCTTTCCTCCTCATCTGGTCCAACGATCTCGATCATCTAGCAATCTCGATCCCGACGACGAGTTGATTGCTGACGATGACGATGATGATGATGGTAGTGGTGGTTATGCCGAGAGCAATCCGTCGGAGTTGATCGACCACTTTGTTGCCTCTGTAATCCTTACTTTTAGGGGTTTTTCAAATTTAAATCTCTTTGTTTATTTTTTTAGATGCAAGTTTTGATTTAGGTCATAGAAATTGATGAAGGATTCAATTTTGCAGGTCATCACGAAAGACACCCTTTTGTTGGAGCAGGTTAGTTAAATTTCTTTATCAAAATTTGGAATTTTGCTGGTTCTTGTTGTTAATGATTTAGGATTTTTGTAGAAAGAGGATTTGGGGAAGGTGATGGATTTGTTTGCTTTGAGCGAGCAGCATGCAAGGACATTGTTGATTTATTACAGGTGGGGTGTGGAGAGGATTTTAGAGAATTTTGAGAAGAAAGGGAGGGATATGATGTTTTTAGATTCTGGAATTATGATTTCTTGCGTCCGACGGCCCTCGGGTCAGTTCCATGACATGCTCTCCAACCACCGCCTCTCCCGAACCCCTCAGTTCATCACTCTCGGCATCCAGCGGCCCTCGGGTCAATTCCATAGCGTGCTCAATCTCGGCCTCGTCGTGGTCCCGCACGTGCCGGGGAGGATACGGTTCTACGAAAAAAATGTGATGGTAATAAGAAGAAGAAGAAAGATGATGATAATAATAAGAAGAAAGAAAGATGAACTCTTTGAGTTGATTTCTTGAGATGATGATAATAAGAACATGTAGATTTCTGTGTTTGTACACAATGCAAAAACCTGTAGATTTCTTGAGTTGATTTCCGTGTTTGTAAACAATGCAAGAATCTGTAGATTTCTTGAGATGATTTACTTACAGCTTTAGCATGCAAAGAAAAGCCTTTTATGCTTGTTTATTTATGTTGACTTGTAGAATCTTTTAGTGGATGTGATTATCAATGAAAATTTGAGATAATCACCTTTTACATTTGTGCCCTATATGTGATATTTGGTATTCTGTGTGACTTATACTGTTGTTATGTGATATTTTGGGTGATATATTCTGTTGTTATGTAACGTTTTGGTATTCTGTGTGACTTATATTGCTATTATGTGATTTTTTAGTATTCTGTGTGACATGTGCTGCTGTTATGTGACATTTTGGTATTCTGTGTGATTTCTTTATTTATGCTTGTTTATTTATGCATGTTTATTTATGTTGACTTGTAGAATCTTTTAGTGGATGTGATTATCAATGAAAATTTGAGATAATCACATTTTACATTTGTGCCCTATATGTGATATTTGGTATTCTGTGTGACTTATACTGCTGTTATGTGATATTTTGGGTGATATATTCTGTTGTTATGTAACGTTTTGGTATTCTGTGTGACTTACATTGCTATTATGTGATTTTTTAGTATTCTGTGTGACATATACTGCTGTTATGTGACATAACAACAGTATATGTCATACAGAATACTAAAAAATCACATAATAGCAATATAAGTCACACAGAATACCAAAACGTTACATAACAACAGAATATATCACCCAAAATATCACATAACAGCAGTATAAGTCACACAGAATACCAAATATCACATATAGGGCACAAATGTAAAAGGTAATTATCTCAAATTTTCATTGATAATCACATCCACTAAAAGATTCTACAAGTCAACATAAATAAACAAGCATAAAAGGCTTTTCTTTGCATGCTAAAGCTGTAAGTAAATCATCTTGTTTATTTATGTTGACTTGTAGAATCTTTTAGTGGATGTGATTATCAATGAAAATTTGAGATAATCACCTTTTACATTTGTGCCCTATATGTGATATTTGGCATTCTGTGTGACTTATACTACTGTTATGTGATATTTTGGGTGATATATTCTGTTGTTATGTAACGTTTTGGTATTCTGTGTGACTTATATTGCTATTATGTGATTTTTTAGTATTCTGTGTGACATATGCTACTGTTATGTGACATTTTTCTATTATGTGATTTCTTTGCATGCTAAAGCTGTAAGTAAATCATCTCAAGAAATCTACAGATTCTTGCATTGTTTACAAACACGCAAATCAACTCAAGAAATCTACAGGTTTTTGCATTGTGTACAAACACAGAAATCTACATGTTCTTATTATTTTTGCATTGTGTACAAACACAGAAATCTACATGTTCTTATTATCATCATCTCAAGAAATCAACTCAAAGGGTTCATCTTTCTTTCTTCTTCTTATTATCATCATCTTTCTTCTTCTTCTTATTACCATCACATTTTTTTTCGTAGAACTGTATCCTCCCCGGCACGTGCGGGACCACGACGAGGCCGAGATTGAGCATGCCATGGAACTGACCCGAGGGCCGTTGGATGCCGAGAGTGATGAACTGAGGGGTTCGAGAGAGGCGTTGGTTGGAGAGCATGTCATGGAACTAACCCGAGGGCCGTCGGACGCCAAGAAATCATAATTCCAGAATCTAAAAACATCATATCCCTCCCTTTCTTCTCAAAATTCTCTAAAATCCTCTCCACACCCCACCTGTAATAAATCAACAATGTCCTTGCATGCTGCTCGCTCAAAGCAAACAAATCCATCACCTTCCCCAAATCCTCTTTCTACAAAAATCCTAAATCATTAACAACAAGAACCAGCAAAATTCCAAATTTTGATAAAGAAATTTAACTAATCTGCTCCAACAAAAGGGTGTCTTTCGTGATGACCTGCAAAATTGAATCCTTCATCAATTTCTATGAGCTAAATTAAAACTTGCATCTAAAAAAATAAAAAAAGAGATTTAAATTTGAAAAAACCCCTAAAAGTAAGGATTACAGAGGCAACAAAGTGGTCGATCAACTCCGACGGATTGCTCTCGGCGTAACCACCACCACCATCATCATCATCGCCATTGTCAGCAATCAACTTGTCGTCGGGATCGAGATTGTTGGATGATCGAGATCGTTGGACCAGATGAGGAGGAAAGGGAATGGGTTTTAATTGGGAAGAAGGGTAAATTGGGAAGTGGTTTTCTTGGGCAGTGGGTTTGGGGGTTGGTTGCACATGTTTTTTAATTTTAGGACTTGTGGGTTATGGTTTTTGGGCTGGGGGTGAGAATGCTTGGCCCAACTATTTTTGGTTCCTACAAGCAATTTTCCCTAAAAAATTTATAAAAATTGTATGGAAGAATAATCATTAATTTGCTTGGTCAAACCTAGTTTGTCTTCTAACCTAGTTTATCAGTTGAGGAATCCCTATTTTTTAAGATGGGACCAGACAATAGCTTAAAAGCTACTCTGACAAATAATAATAATAAGCCCCTCCAAACATCCTCCAATGACCACTGAGGCAAATACGCGGACATCAAAATAAAACATTTTCACAAAAACCACTGAGGCAAATACGCGGACATCAAAATAAAACATTTCCACAAAAACCACTGAGGCAAATACGCGGACATCAATAATAATAGCCAAAGATGTTAAACAGTCACATTATGTGCCTTTTCTTCATATGAATCGTAACCTCACAAAATAAGGAAATTCAGAGTATGGAATTTCACACACCAAAAAAAAAGCACTAAAACAGAATAAAACATAACAGTAGTTTAATCATCAAGGTAAGGTTAAAATTTTCTCCCTGTAAAGTGTTTGCTAACTCCAAGATAGTCTTCCGTGCAAATTTACATATTTTCTGTCTAGAACAACAGGTCATGAAGTAGAGAAAGAAACCACCCAAGGCCCTGTGGGTTACATGATGCATCTAATTATTACAAATTCATATAACATTAATGACTGTTTATTGTTTGACTACGTACATATCCTTGCACATTCACTGTATTAGAACGGAAATAACTGCTCATAACACAATAAGATGTGCAAGCATGTTCCCAAATCCAGCACGCGTCAGTATGCACTGATAGGATTCCACCACCGGATGCCACATATGTGACATATGGGCTGCATACACACAAGGCTCATTTACAAAAAAAAAAGAACATAATATATTTGGAGAAATAGAAAAACATTTTTTTTTCATATTACTTATGATTAATGAAATATTAAAGAATGTTATCATCAGAAAGAAATATAAAAAATGTCAAAAACTAAATCATAAACAAAAGAACTTAAATTACATCTAACCTAGTAGCAAAGCATAGGCAATAAATGGAGAGGATGTCTAGCTAATAAGTTGAGAAACCTTAGTATATCTTGCAGGTATCCATGAAACATTAAAAAACCCAATTTTCAATCAAGCAACATCGAAAATAATAACAGCAAAGAAGAAAATAGTAAGAGAAAAAATGAAACAGGAAAGAACAAATGGCATCAAATGGGAGCTTTTCGCGAGGTAAGTTATTACGATTAGGTTTCAGGTTTCACGTATCCAATGTCTTAAGTGCATCTACATGATAAATATACACCACAAATTATGTCCTCATATATATGGTTCAAACTGTGCATATGTTCCTTGGCCACAAAATGCTGAGCTTTAGAACATAAATTTGATGTATGTTAATGTTGTCTCATACATCATTACTGATTGAGCAATAAGTAGTATATAACCACTATGGGTGCATGATCAATGCTAAACTATTACAGCATAAATGGAGAAAACAAAAGGGTGTAGCAGCCA